AGAGACAGTACCAAAAGCTTTACTGAAATCCAAAAGCATAACATCAACTGGCTTCTCTTGATCATCTCTTGATCTTGGGTGGAAATCAGCTTTGATAAGCAGGGCTTGAAGCTGGGCTGGCTGTGACCAGTGACTGTCTTGTCCTTCAGGTGCTTTTCAACACCTCCCTCAATAATCTTCTCCACAATTTACCAGTCACTGAAGTGAATGTGACAGGCCTGAAGTTTCCAGGGTCATCCTTCTTGCCCTTCTTGAAAACTTGGACAATCTTTGTCAGCTTCTGGTTAGCTGTGACCTCTCCAGATTCCCAAGACAATTCAAAAATCATGGAGACAGGCCTCACAATGACATCAGCCAGCTCTCAGAGTGTTCTCCCATGGGATGAATCCCATCAGGCCCCATGGACTCATGGGGGTCCAGCTGGAGCACTGGAATGGTCCTCAGGGCTCAGTTCAGGGCACTGAGAGTGGAGTCCCTTAGCCCATCACTGGTGCTGAAGACAAAGAAAGCATTAAACATCTTTGCTTTATGGCCCTGTCAGTGAGGTGACCATCCTCATCCTGTAACAGGCTGATGCTATTGCTGCACTGACTATTGCTACTAATGTATTTTTTAATGTATTCATGTATTTTTATGGTCTCTCACAGTTCTGGGCAGCTCCAGTTGAGCTTTGGCCACACGAATTTTCTCCCTTCAGTGGTGAACAGCACCTCTGTATTCCTTCCACATCACCTGACCTTGCTTCCACTAGGCATACACCTTCCTTTTTTTGCCATGGTTCCAGAAGAATAGTCCTGTTCAGCCAAGCCAGCTTTTTTATCTTGTCTGCTTGATTTCTGGCATTTGGGAATTGCCCACTCCTGTGCCCTTAGGAGGTGATGCTTAAAAAGTGACCAGCACTGATGGACACCAGCACCTGTGAAAGCTCTCCCATTTTCCCAGGGAACCTTACCCTCTACTTCCCTGAGAAGCCTGAAGTCATGTTCAGGGTTGAAGTTTTGCTGGAACTTTTCCTCATGGTCATAAGAGATTTTTAAACCTGATTGTTTTGTGACCTCTGTGGCCAAGACAGCCACCAGTGACCCTTTCACTCATGAGTCCCTCTTTGTGAGCAAGCAACAAATCAAGGAGGGCATTTTGCCCCTTTGGCTCTCTTAGTACCATGGAATCATCATCCAGGTGTTTTAGGAATCTTCTGAACCCGTTTGTGCCAGCTGTGCAGTGTTCCCAGTCAACATCTGGCAGGTTGAAGTCCCTCATAAGGACAAAGACTCCATACCTGGAGGGGTTTCAGTCATGTAGATGTGGCACTCAGGGGCATGGCTTCATGTTGGACCTGGCAGTGTTTGGTTAAGGGTGGGATTCCATCCTCTCAGAGTGATTTTCCAAGATTCTCTCTTTCTGAGGGAAGTGGGAAGGGGTTTTGCAGGTCTGCCCACACCTGGACAGCAGGATGGGGCTCGGGGTCGCTTTGGACATGTGTAGTTATGGACAGACAGCTGTGGGAGGAAAAGGTTTGTCCTGCTGCCAGAGTTACAGGCTCTCACTGGCCTTTTGGTCATTGGGACTGCAATGGGGTGGATGGAAAAGCTTAAAAATTGGGAGCTGGGATGCAGTTGCTTGCTCCAATGCCGCTGAAAACCCAGACAAGTGGGAGAGTCTGATGCACTGTCTGATTTGACCCCCAAAAAACCCATGAGGGTGTTTGTCCCTGAACATCCATCATCCTGTCAGGCTGCAATGAGCTGGAAGAAAAAAAAAAAGATTTTTTATTTTATTTTGCTAAATGATGATTGACATTTTAAAAGCAATATTGTCAAAGCTGCATGTCAAGCAGCCTAATTGCCTAATCTGTGTGGCTCCTAATGACAAGTTAGACTATTACAGCTGAAAGAATTTTAAGCATCTAATAATTTATACATCATCACCTGGGCTATTTGCTTTCCACACTTCAGTAAATGTAGATGAGGAGAGGAGCTGCTTGTGTTTCAAGGTAATTTCACCTGTTTCACTCAGTCCTGTCTCAGGATGGTGCAGCCCTGGGGGAAATCACAAACTTCAGAGAAGCTGGTTAAAATGTTGTGATGAAAACACTCACTTTTACATTAGGACTCTTTTCCCCCACTCCAGTAGCTGAATATTTTTTTTTCTTTCATAAGACAGGAAGCAACTTGGGCTCTGCTTCTGTGTCACATTGGGGTATCACACCACTTTAACTTCAGGTTGGAATATTATGTGTTATAAATGGAAAAATGTCTTTTTACCCAAACACCCAGCACAGAAACAACACTTGGGCAGCAAACTGAAAAGGCAAGTCTGTCCCCAACAAGCTACAGCTGGCCTCATTTCATTGATTAGCTAATTGCTATTAGCTAATTGCTGTCACTTGTGAAGCAGGGCCCTCTATGAGTGAGTGGGCTGCCAGGACAGCCCCTCTGCTGCAGGGATTTGTGTTTTGGAGGGGGTCTGGGAAAGGTGGTGATCCCATGCTTGCTCTGCCTGAGGGATTATTCTGGGGAGAAACAGGAAGTTTTTTGTTTTGTATGTTTTGTTGTATTTTTTTTGTTGTTGTTTCATTTAATGCTGTACCTCTGGTAAACTTTTGCCATGAAGCCTTTGCCCTCCCCCTTTACTCTGGCACTGCTTCTGATGCCCTGGGTGCTGGGGCCAGCTCCTGCAGGGCAGGGTCCTGGGGTGATGCTGAGGCCCTGCTGTGATGCTGCTGCTGCTGCTGCTCCAGGGGTGAGTGAGGGTTCCCTATAGCAAACTCTCCTCTTGGGTGCAGTGTCCTGCCTGCTTACAAAACCTTCTCTCTTCTCCACGGCCCTGGGGGATTAATGCCTCTCTGGGCTTTGCTTGCTGTGTTTTGGGGCTGGTTTTTATATTGGTTGTGGTCCAACAGCACAAATCAGGCAGTGCTTCTGCATGTAGGGAGGGGAGAAAGTTTATAATCACATGGAGTAAATGATGTAACCTTGGGACTTGGTCCAGGTGCAGGAAAAGCCCTAATCCACCCAGGCTGGGTTTGGTTCTCCCTTCCCACTGAGCTGGTGTTAGCATTTCTCTGGGCAGTGTTATAAACATTGGGAATTGGTATTTGGGCCTGCAATTGGACTATTTTCTTTTTTTATAGGGAAGAGGATCCTTTCAGCAATATTGGAAGGTCAAACCAGGTAAGAATTGAATTAGTTCTCAGATCAGCCTCCTTTCCCCCCAGCCCCCCAGAACTTGTTGGGTACTTCAAGTCATCAATAAATAGTGTGGAAAATCAGGAGCGACAGCCTGGCTGTGGGGTGATGTGTGGTTGATCAGTGCTGAGTGCTGGGGCAGGGAAAAATCAGTGCTGGTGCAGGAGATAACCTGTGCCACTGTCCTGTGGCTGCCAAATCCCTGCCGCAGAGCACGTCCTGCAGGCAGGAGCAAAGCACTACAGCAATCAAAACAAGTGGCAAAAGTTCAACCCAAGCTTTAAGTGTGCTCCTGTAGGGCAAACCTATTCTGAACTTGCCACTCTTCTGGCTCTGAGAAAGTGGTTTTGGAAAGCACTGCTTTTCCCTGCCCAAGGAAAGCTGCCTTCCACTTTGAGGACTTTGGGGAGATGCTGTTGGAGCTCTAATGGGTTCTGCCTTGGCTGAGCCCTTTAGACCAAAGAGATTGAAAATGTTTTCAGGAGAGCTTTGTCTCCCAGCTCTGCAGGTGTATGAACAGCAAACCTCTCCCATAGGCTGGCACCAAACGTAGCAGTGCCCTCTGCTTCTGTAACTCGCCCAGGTGGGGCAACTCCCTGAGCCTTTAGCCTTGATCCCTAAATAGCCTGACCCTGCAGAGGAGAAACTGCCTCCCTGGGACATGTGGCACCCACTGTGGCCATCCTGGGACATCTGTGCTCCTGCACGGCCATGGGGGGGCTTAAAACAGGAGTGTGCCCTGCCCTGGGGCTGTAGCAGCGAGGGCACAGCCTGGCTCTCCGTGGAGCAGGAGCTGGTGCTGGCCAGGGCTTCCCCAGCTTTCCTAGGGTTTACTCCCATGTTTTCCCACTGATGGGTTTTCCATGTTGGTTGGCAAACGGGAGCAGGAGGTATCAAAATGTGGAGAAGATAATTTCTGGAAATCAAGATGATAACTATTTCTTTGGAAGAGGAAATGGGTGAAAACTTGATTGTTGCCTCTTGTCTTCCAGAGCCGGAATCTCCTTGGTTACTGGCCTATGTGCCTATAAGAAGCTGCCACAGAGTGCTGCAGGACAAATATGGGGAGTTTTCTCCTCCAGCATTCCATGCTGATTTCCCTGTAAGCTTTTGGTGCAACTGGACCATCTGGGCAGGCTCCAGGAAGCACATAATCATTTATATCCAGGGATTTGTCGCTAGGGAGGCGTGCAACAAAAATGAAGACAAAATTCTGTTTGAAGGAGTCTCCTCCCTGGTGGAAAACAGTGTTATTTATGCCTGCTGGAAAAAGGAGATGCATGTTTTTGCCACCTTTGCTCAGGCTGTCCATGTTGTGCTGCTGAAGCGGTACTTGCCAAACCGGAGAGATGCACAATTTAAAGGGAAGTATTACATCTTCCAAGAACAGCAAGATGATGCAATTTCTGGAACTTCTGTTTCAAAACTGCCAAAGAAAGGTGGTATTTTTCAGTCTGGCTGGGTTGAAAACTTTAGAGATCCACTGGGCTTTGCAACCACACGTGGCAGCACCACAGTGAGAAGCAGCAAGCTGATGCAGGGAAGGGGGATCACTCTGGACACCATGGCTGTGGGAAGTCCTACAGAACTTATCCTAGGTGAACATGCAAGGACACAGGCTCTGGAAACAAAAGCTCTTTGTGGGCTGGGGGCTCAGGAAGTTCAAGGTATTGGAGCACCTGAGGGAATAATCCCCACTGCAGCACAGGACATCTGGGGGCAGAATCCCTCTGTGGGTGAGGACAGCGCTGTGAGCTTTGGTCCTGTGCACAGCATGCTTTTGGAAACTCCTTTGCTTGGTGCCTTCCAGGGAGCAGAACCTTTTTGGCAGCCAGCAGATGTGAGTCTGGAGAGCAGACAGCCTGTCCTGAACCCTACACTGAGGCCAAAAGGTCTGGGCCACCTGCAGTTTACAATTAAACCAACAGGCACGGGTCACCTGGACTTGGCTGCACACTCTGAGCCTCTGTCCCCAGGCACAGGACAAAGCCAGGAGGGCACAGGTCCCACCAGGGACAGCCAGCTCAGCACAGCCAGCCTGGAGAAGGATGGTAGCCGTGCCCAGCTGAGTGTCCCAGCTGATGGCCTCACTGAGGGCCTGATGCCCAGCCTGAGGAGCCCCAATGATGTGGTCACCAGGGACCACTTGCAGCTGCTACCTGAGAGAAGCCAAAACAGTTTGGGGCATTTGTGCATGCCTAAACCTCAGCCAGGCACAACTGGCCTCCAACACACGAAGCTGGTAGATGTTCTCCCACTGGGATGTTCTAGGGGAGCTGTCAGGAGAACAGTGCTGCATCCCACAGTGCCAGGGCTGGCTGTACCTGCTTTGGCAACAGGGCTGGAGCATCCTCTCACACCTGTGCCTGCCCTGGGGACAGAAACCACCCCTGTGCTGGTGACCTCCTCTGCAGCACCTGTCCCTGCAGATTTTGGCTATCTGGATTTATTCCCTGAAGCGCCTCTTCCTCCACAAGTGGAGTCTGTGTCCATGGTGGCCTCTCTCCCAGCTGCTCTGGATCAGGATCCTGTCAGTCTCAGGCAAAGGGACACCTCCCCAGCTAGCCCAGGAGGACAGGACATGATCTCCCCTTCACCACCCTGCTATCCATCAGTAGCCTCTGAACTGGGCACTAATGGGTCCTCCAGATACCTTGGCCCTGGGATGCAAAAGTTGGTGCCTGATGGACAGGCAGGTGGTCAGAGAGGCAAAACCACAGCCTCTGTGGGCTTGATGGCCAGGAGTCCCTTCCCAGTCTTTGTCACTGTCCCAGGGCCTGGTGTGAGGCTTACTCAGCCTGAGGGCCATGTCAGCAGTGGCTCTGGGGGGACACCAGCTTCCCTGGCTGGCACCAGAGAGGAGCACAAGGTGCCTGTGCAGCATCAGCACAGTGCTGCTAGTGACAAACCAGCTTCTGCCTCCAACTTCAGGGGATTTAACATGCAGGGAACCACAGAAACCGTGCTAGTGGGTTCAGGGCAGAGGACAACTGCCTCCTTCAGCACCACTCCTGCACACCCTGATCTGCCTGCAGCTCCATGGGGAGAAACACTGCCAGGAGACCAGCAGCCTTGGGAGCCCTCTGATGTACCCAGGAACACCCAGGTGCCAGAAGGACAGCCAGAGAAACATGCTGGTAGGTGTCCCAGCACTTTGTCTTGGCACAAGTCATCTTGTCATCAAGTCAAAATTACTTGGTGGGCAAGGACAAGGCTGTGCCTTTCACCTGCAGTTTTCACCTGCAATCATAACCTGCTCTTTGGGGAGAACTGAGCTGGGACAACCCTGGCTGGACACCAGGTGCCCTCCAAAGCTGCTCCTCAGCAGGACAGGGGAGAGAAAATGTGAATAAAGGCTTGTGAGGTGAGATAAGGACAGGGAGCGATCACTGTCAGTTTACCATCGTGGGTAAAACAGACTTGACTTGGGGAAATCAATCTAATTTCTTACCAATCAAATCAGGGTAGGATAATGAGAAATAAACTAAAATCTTAAAAGCAGCTCCCCCCTACCCCTCTCTTCTTCCCAGGCTCAACTTCATTCCTGGTTTCTCTGCCTCTGGAGGGGCAGGGGAATGGGGCCTGTAGTTCACACCTTGTCTGTCTCTGCCACTCCTTCCTTCTCTAGGGAGAACTCCTCACTGGCCTGGCCAGTGCTGGGTCCATCCTGGAGCTGGCTGGCACTGGCTCTGCTTCATGCAGCCTCTCAGAAAGGCTCAGCTCCAGTTGTAGTGTGGATTTGTGGCTCCAGGGGCTGAAACTACAGAAACCTTGTAGGAGGAGAGGGTCGGAAATGCCGCCTCTCCCGTGGCAGTTTGCAGCACTCCTAAAAGTCTGATGTGTAATCTAATATAAAATGTAATATATGATATAATTTGTGAATATAATAACCTTTGATTACATATTTCTTTCCGGTGTTCCTGATGTGTCAGAGCTGGGCCCTCCCTGGGTAACCGAGTACTTTCCCATCAGGAGCTGCCACCTCATCTTCCAGGGTGGGTCTGGCATGTTTTACCTCCCTCTGCATGCTGAACCCAACACCTGGTGCAACTGGACCATCTGGGCAGGCCCCCAGAAGCACATTGTCATCTATGTCCAAGGATTCCAGGGGAGCGATGGCTGTGGCAACAACCAGGACAAGATCATCTTCCAGGGGGGCTCGTCAAGCGTGGAAACCAAAGTGGTGTTTGCCTGCCACAACAGAGGCACTCTGATCTTTGCTGCACAAGCCACCGAGGTCCAGGTGTTGTTTCTGTCAGGGAGTGGTTCCAGAAGCCATGAATACAGGTATTTTAAAGGACAGTATTATGTATTCAGGGACTCTGAAGCTGTGGGCTCTTCGAGTGATACCCTAGCAGCTCCCCAAGAAACTGTCCAGGACACCTCTGGAAAAGAGAGCTGGAGGACAGTGGTGACCAAAGGTTTATTGTCCATGCTGACAGCTCCTCCAGGCCCATCTGCTGGAGGCAGGATCCAGCCTGACACTGTGAGCCCGGAAGAAGCAGCCCAGCGTTCTCCTGATCTCATGGAAGGTGGTCAGCCTGGTGCCAACCTGAGTGAGCATGGTCAGGATGAAACCAGGCTGGAAAGGAACCTTAAGGATGGTGGCAGCAAGGGCAGAGAACCTGAAGATGACATGTTGGTGGAGCCAGCTCCAGCTGGGCAAGACACTGAGGGTAAAGCCGAGCCACCTGCCTTGGAGCTGACCACAGGGGACACAGAGCCAGGGGCTGCTCTGTCCACCATGGTCCCATGTCACCCAGCTGGCTCCCCTTGCTCAGAGATGCCCAGCAGCAGAATAGGTGTCTCTGACAAATCACCTACGCTGGGTCAGGCCAGTGACAGCCCCTCAGAAGTGGCAGCTGCTGCACACCACACACAGACACCAGTGCTGGCACAGCCACCACTAGGCACCAGCACAAAAACACCTCTCTACCCCTCTCCTGGTGTGACTGCTGCTGACGTGGTGTCTCTGGGAGGAAGGACTGAAGACCTCTTTGGTAAGGTGATTTTTTGGTTATTACTGGCTGAACTGATGCCTGACAATGTGCAATATCCACCTCCAGTGATGCAGCACTCCGTTAAGAGATTTTATTTGTAGACATGGTTGTTACTTTCAGCTGAGCCATGTGGTACCACCCTTGACTCCTGTATCCAAGGAGAGAGGGACACAGGATTATCAGTTCTAACGTGGGCATCTATGGGATTATGCTACTGGTAATAGGGACAGGCTGGTTTCTAATCCAAGTGTTTTGAGTTATCCATGGGGGAGCCAGCCTCTTAGCTGTGACTTCGCTCCCAAAGCAGACTGGGAATGCTCATCTTGGTTTTCAACAGCCCTGTCTTGCATTGATTCCTCTGTAGCCTGTCACAGTGCTCCCAGGCATGATCACTGAGTTTGAGCTCCAGAAGCTAGAGAAAGATTTAAAAAATCCTTTGTCTTTAAAGAAAGTTTAGGGGTTGATGGTAGATCACTTACACAGGCAATATTTGACTACCGATGTGTATTAATTTCTGCCTGAAAGCAGAAGATGTTTTCAATTGGGGTTTTCTCACCTTCAAATTGTTCTTGCCCCTCTGTTGCAGATTTTATTTGGATTTCTTGCATTTGCAGGCATGCAATGCCCAAGCTGTTTTGCTCCACTGGGATCCAAGGCAGCTCTGGTGGCTTCACTGGGATAACAGTTTGTCTGCCTCCAAAAATGGAAATGAGGTTTATTGTGGTGATTTCTTTCTAAAGAGCACTTTTTCCACTGTGGAGAGGAAATTGTCTTCAGACCCTGATATTCAATTTCAGTGTGAAGACTAGAGGAAGGAGCTCTTCTTGCCAAGAGATACAGACCTAATGTACTTTCCCTCCCCCATTACTGGTACATCAATGATAGCAGCCTGATGCTTTCCCTTGCTTTGGCAGGTCTGATGTCATCTGTGGAGAACAACACAGGATTGCAATCCCAGCACCATCCTGGAGGTGAGCCATGCAAAGTTAAGTGTGTCTTAAAACACTGCCCTAAGCTCAGGGAGCTGTCTGAGGCTGTGCTGGACATCACCTGCTCATTACATTTAGAAATTAGTTGTTTCTGAGTAGTAACCATTCTGAAGATTTTACTTTTTAAGGTGTCACTGCAATCCTACACTTGTGCTTTGGCCACATTGTATCTCCCCTGAAGAAACCTGAGTTCAGGGGCTAATCCTGACATTAATAAATGCTGACTTGTTTGAGTTCAAGCATTATTTGTTGGCTATTTAAATAAGGTTTTTCTAAGATGAATGAGGGTGAATGAACTTCAATTCCTTCAGTGTATTCCAATGGATGTCCTGTGACTACCAGGATCAAAAATGTGCAGAAATCCTGTTCCTCAGACCAGGGAGAGAAGGAAAACTCTCTTATGGAAGAGCAACTAAACAATATAAATGCAGGGCATGTATGGCCCAGCAAGCCACAAAAACAACTTGCACAAAGGAGTTGATACAGAAGGAGCCTGAGCTCTGAACAGGGGAAATATTGATGAACAAATAGGTTTTAAACAGCCAACTGGCAAATCTGTGCCAGTCTGGATTCCAAGAGAAATTGGCTTTTAGACTCCATCAGTAATTATGACAATCCCTTTGGGAAACAGAACAGCTAAAGGCATGCAAATGTGATTGGATATGTATTGGATATGTCGCTTTGTGTCAGTTTTTCACTGGAAGATCAATTCTAGTATTCATCAACAAGCATTAACTAAGGTTTGTGTTCACCTGTTACTCAATAACTTGTCCTACCTGATGCACAGCCCCTGGAAATACCCATGTGGCACTGACCTGCACAGGCATGGTGCTGTTCTAGTGTTGATGCTTAAGGACTAACTCATTTGGGGGTCCTGTTTGTATTGTGTGCATTTGAACATGCCAGGATCTCATGTCTTATGGTAGATGTGCTGTTTGAAGTCACTATTGAAATCAAACCCAAGGACTGGATTCCTCATGGTGGAAGTGAGCTCCAAAAGGGTCTCCTTGAATCTCTGAAGAATCACGTAAGTGTGGGCATGGGGAGGTGGAGAAAAACAGATGGGATGTCCCAAATCTTCATGTAGGAGAGACCATACTGTGCTTTTGTGTTTGGGGGAGATGATCTGGAGCTAAGCAGATGGGAATGACTGGCATTCTTCTAAAGAAAGGGCTCAGAGCAGTGAGCTATGGGACATCCTCTGCATCCCCGGTGGTTTGTGAAGGGGGGAGAGCAAGATGGGGTAAGTGAGAAAAGAAGCTGCTTGGTGTCATACTCCTGCTTGTCGAATGTCAAATTGGCACTGGTCACTCTATTCCTTTGCAGATCCGGAAGAACCTGAAGCTTTCTGCCAATAGAGTCAGTGAAATAAAGTTAAAGGATGTCAAAAGGTAGGATTCATACTGTGCTGCTGGCTTGGCAGGTGAGTGCTATAACCTGTAATACTTCTTGGATTAGCAGTGTCTTGGCTTCTCACTCTCCTTCCCCAGGAAGAGACATGTGTTTGTTACTCTTCCTTGATCTGTGGCTTGTCCTGAAAGCAGAAAAAAAAATAAATTGTTTCCTGGAGGAAAGATGGTGAAAATTGATGTTTAGGATTATCTGGGGACTGTACATGGCTAAGATGGATTTAAACTTTGGAGGAAAAGGAGGATAATCTCACCTGCCACAGTGCCTGCTGGAGAAAGCTGGGAGCTGTCAGCAGAGGCTGATCCCAGACTGCAGATTGCTACTGCAATTCACTTGATGCAAATATCTGGTCATTTCAGCCTAGCTCCAGATGAGGAACCATTCCTGGGCTTTCCTTTTCCCCATGGTCCAAGTGCAAAGCTGCCTCTTGGCTCAGATAATCTTTGCAAGAGCCAGCCTTACAGCATCGTGGTCCCATGCCAAGGGTAGAAGGTCTAAATGGGCTGTGAGAGCTGGGCTGTGGTGATGTGTTCCTGCTGCCTCACCCTGGGCTCTCCCCTGCCCACAGGAGGAGTGATGCCAACCTGCTGCTCACCTTCTGGCTGCACCTGGAGCCGGAGGAGAGGAACGTGTCTCTGCTCCTGCGCTCCCAGCTGCAGCAGCTGCTTGGCACCTCGGTGGGCGTGGAGAAGCTGCAGCTTGTTTCACTGTTTGTTGAAGGTGGGTACTTCACTTGGTTTTTGTTTTGTTTTTTCCTGGAATAAACCCTTTTATGCCAAGCCTGACTTAGGGCATCTATTCCCCATGACAGATGTGAACGAGTGCCAGGCTGGGGTTGGTCTCTGTGGGGAGGAGGCAGAGTGCCTCAATGGCGTGGGCACCTACCTGTGCCGCTGCAAGAAGGGCTACGAGGATCATTCCCCCACCAAGTCCGGCACGCTGTGCATCCGCGCTCCCCACCCAGGTAAAGGATGGCACTGCAGCTCGGCTGCCTCTCGCTGTCTGGTGTTTTAGTGGTGTGATGGGAGAGCCATTTGTGCAGCAGTCTGGGGTGAGCACACCAGGGCAAGGGGCTCTCTGCCAGCCTGGGGTCCTGCCCTCCTCTGATGCATACTGCGTGTGATGTTACTGCAGTGGTGGCTTTAGGTGTCCCTACCAGGTGTGGTAAGGATGTGAAATGTCTTTGCAAGGCAGTTCCCAGCTGAGAATGCAACCTCTCCATGAGGTTTAGCCTCCCTTTCCCAGTCTGCTGCTTTATCTGCATCAGGGTTACAACCTGGCACGTGTGAGCCCTTAAGTGATAAGCAAAGTGTGGTCCAGAGTGATTGATGAGCTACTTCTGCTGTAACTGATGTGATCAGCCAGCCTGGTGGCTCCTGGGAGTGCCCTGTTCTCCTGTCACTCTGTGTAGATCTTGGTGAGAAGGGTGGTGATGCTCCTGGTGTTTACATCAGCTCTTGACACAAGGCTGAGCAGATGGCATGTGGTGCTTGACTATAATCAGAGGTGGCTAATCCAATCTTGCAGAATAATGGGGCCTCACAGGCTAGAAAACAGCGATGTTCTCCAATATGTGCTCCAAACACTGCAGCTGCTTTATCAAAACTACTTTAACATCCCTGCAGTGGCTTTAAACCATAATGTGAACTCATGGCCAAATATAGTATCTCACCCATCCTACCAATTCCAAGTTAACTAACTTGAGCAGTCTAAGCCTGTACAGATCAGCTGGTTATTGTTATACCCTGATACAGGTAATTTTACAAATCCATCTTTATCTCTCCAGGCCTGTGTGGGAACAGCAGCAGATCTTTGTGTAGTTGCACGTGGGTTTGGCAATGGCTTTGCTCTGCTGGGGTTCTTCTGGGTTAGCACCATCCTTGTGCTGCTCCTGACTCTTGGTCTAAGTATTCCCCTGGGATGGAGGTTTGGGAGATGTGTGGAGACCTGCCTGGAGGAGGTGTGAGGCTTTCTGGAGGGTGGCAGGGGCGATGTGAGACTCCTGAAGGAGATGGGGGCACTTTGTGAGCGCAGTGGGGTCCCTGGGGCAGCGGGCACTGGGATGAGGCCGTGGCCTTTCTCTTGCAGGGATCAGCGCCTTCCTCCGCCACGCTGACATGCTGGTGGGGGCAGCCCTCGTGGCCGGCCTGGTGATGCTGGTGGCCTTTGGTGCCCTCTGTGTCATGGCCGTGTGGGGCCGGGCCCCCGGGAGGAGCCCGAGGCCTGAGGAGCCCCCGGTGGGGGCGGTGGAGGAGCCAGCCATGGAGCTGCATGACCTGGGGGAGTGCCTGCGCCTCGACCCCTTCCAGCTGAAGCTGAGGGCCAGGTCCCCCGAGTGGCTCTGGAGCCTCCGTGCCCACCCTGGCCCGGCAGGACTGACGGGTCTTCCCAGAGCAGCTCCCCCACCCTGAGGGGGTCCCGGGCCTCGGTGACCTGAGCAGTCACTCCATCATTTCTCAGGGGTTCTGACACAACCACTGGCTGTGCCAACACTTCTGCTGTGTTCTGTGGGCCATGAATATCCCAAAACAGCGCTCTTCATGTTGTAATTGAATTTTTTGCAATGCTTGCTCAGCATGGGGAAAAAAATGTTTGCTGCAAGCTGCTGTACTTCTGCTGATTTACCCTGCTCAAGACCTGCACAGGAGAATTAAAAACTTTTTTTTTTAAGAAAAAAGGAAATAAGACGTTTTGGTGCCTAATATAAAATTAAAAATTATTCTGCATCCTGCTCAGTGCTGCCTGCTTTCTTCTGCCCCCAAGGAAGAGCTTTATGGGAAGCCTTGGCAGGACCTGAGGATCTGTGGGGTATTTCTTCCAGCCTGGCTGAGAAACATCTCCAGAACTTAAAATTCTGGTGAGAAACACAGTCAGGTTATGGTCAGTGGGCCCCCACTCACAGAACGATGAGGACAGCATTTTTGGTGCTTGCATGGATGCTTGCTGCAAAAAGCCCACCACCAGCCCATCGTCCTGGCAGAACATAAAGCACAGCTCTCTTCCCAGCTTGTCCTGCAGCTGGAGCCCGGTAACTTCTCTGTTTGTCTTTCTGAGGGGGGTTTCAGTGGGAATTCCCCCCTTTCCTGGGGAAGAAGCGTGCTCGGTGCGGTGCAGGTGCCCCACTGGAGGGAGCTGTCTGCCACCAAAAGCCCAGGAAGGGCGCTGGCTGCTCCGGGTGGATGGATGCTCCCGGAGGTGGGGCACGGCCGGGGGACTCTGGCTAAAGCAGCTCCAGGGGAGGTCTCCCGGCGCTTGTTGAGCAGCTTTGGGCAGGGGATGAGCTGTGCAGGTGAGGGCTGAAGGGAACGGATTGCACAGGGATGTCCCAGCTCAGGGTTTGCTCCGCAGGGTCAGCTTGGAAGGGGCTGGAAATGGCCCTGCTGTGCTTCGCTCCAGGTGAGGATACTGGTGGAGAAGCCAAAAGGGGACCTGGGGTCTTTCCTTAGAGTAACTCTTTTCCAGACCCTTCTTCCCCTCACACCCAAAAATAAAAAAAAGGCAGTCCCTTTATCTCAGCTGTTGAATTGGTTAAGAAGCAACATTGCAGTGCTGAGGGCGATTTGCCAAAGGAGTGACTGGCGAGGTGCAGCACAGCTTGGGACACTATAAATGCCAGTGTTGTGAGAGCCAGGTGATGCACTCGGGTGATAAAGGAACAAGCAGCCTCCGTGCCCCTCCGGCAAGGGGTGGCTGTGCTGCTCTCCCATAATGGGCTCATCCAAATGAGCTGATGCTGATGGGGCTCTCCTGCCTGCAGAGATAGGTGAGGCAGAGCCTCCCTGAACACACTCCCCCAGCAGCAGACATCCAGTTTTTGGGTACTGAAACAGAGAAAAATGGATCTCCCGAAGACATCTTGATCATTGCTTCCTTTGGCGCTCAATCACCTCTTACCAACCATTTTCTATGCATGGTTTTCAAGGTATTTTGTAAATAGCAGAGAATTAAATGCAAACATCTCTCTAGGAGGCAGATAAGTGGGTGTAATTTTCCATTGTAAAGAGAAGGAAACCATTAATGTGTTTGCACAGAGTGTGCTTGTTTCCTCACTGAGATGAAAGAAAAGCAGCAGGGGCTAAAATAATACTGTCAATTATCTTGGCCTTGGATTTGGTCAGTCACCAATCTCCCCTTTTCCCTTCTTGGATCCACAAAGGGTCCTTGGGGGCTTTTCAGGTTGCTAACGCTTCTCTCTCCTGGTTAGGTAAGGTTTGGATCCTAAAGCCAAGCAATTGATAAGCAGATGGGTTCCAGCTTTCCCAGGAGCAAGGTGAGCCTCACACTGTGCTCCTCTGCTGGAAGCCAGCTCCTTTAATACAGCTGTAGTCTGCTCTGTAACCCAAGCATGAGGATCATTCATGGATTATCCTCCCATTGGATCCCCTTTCCCTGTAGCTTTCCATCCAGACAGAATGTCCCACTGATCCTCCTGCTCATGCACAGGGGACAGAGGAAAGCCTGGAGCGATGTAGCTGGGCAGGACTTTCTGCAGCCAAACCCAGGGCAGCAGCAGGTCCATCTGGGCTCTGGGTGCATGCAGGAGGTGGGGATGGCATGCTGCCCCCTCCTCACCTGGTGTGAAGTGACTGCACTTGCCCCTCATGGCTGTGCCTGCGAGAGATGTCAGGCTTTTATTGGAAGCAGCCAAGGTATGTGTGTGATCTGGGTGTGAAACAGCAGGACAGAGCCAGAGACCAAGCCCATTGTGAGCAGTAGTTAGCAGGGGTTTCCTTGTTATAAAAATCCACCATTTCAGTCCCAAATAGTGTTGCTATGCATTACATGTCTAAAGAAACTGTTTTTCCTTGTGAAATCCAGGTTGGCTTTAGGAACAGCCCATCCCTCCTTTCCCGCTCTCCCAGTTGAACTGAGTGGGGCTGAATCCCCAGAATCCCAGGTCAGGCTGGAATGGACCCTGTGGGTCATCTGGTCCAACCTCCCTGCTCAGGCAGAGCCATCCCAGAGCACGTGGCACAGGATGGTGTCCAGATGGTTCTTGAATATCCCCAGTAAGGGAGACCCCACAACCTCTCTGGGCAGTCCCAGTGCTTGGGCTCTGCACAGGGAAGTTCTTCCTCATGTTCAGGGGGAACTTCCTGAGCCTCAGTTCCTGCCCGTTGCCTCTTGTCCCTTTGCCCGGCACCGCCGAGCAGAGCCTGGTCCATCCTGGGGCCCCTCCCTGCAGACACTGACAGACATTGATGAGGTTCCCTCTCAGTGTCTCTTCTCCAGGCTGAACAGGCCCAGCTCCCTCAGCCTCTCCTCAGAACTGAGGTGCTCCAGTCCCTTCATCATCTTTGTCACCCTCTGCTGGACCCTCTCCAGGAGCTCCGTGTCTCTCTTGCCCTGAGGATGCCAGAGCTGGACACAGCACTCCAGACTGGCCTCACCAGGGCTCAGTAGAGGGGCAGGATCATCTCCCTGACCTGCTGCCAATGCAGTTCCCAATGCAGCCCAGGATCCCCTTGGCTTTCTTGTCCCCCAGGGCACTGCTGGCCCATGGACAGCTGGGTGTCCACCAGCACCCCCAGGTCCTTCTCTGCAGAGCTGCTGCCCAGCAGGTCACCCCCAGCCTGTGCTGGTGCCTGGGCTTGTTCCTCCCCACGTGCAGGACCCTGCACCTGCCCTGGTTGAATTTCAGGAGGTTCTTCCCTGCCCATCTCAGCCTGTCCAGGTCCCTCTGAAGGGCTCTCAGCACCCTGGGGTATCGGCCACTGCTCCCAGCTTCGTGTCACCAGTGAACTTGCTGAGCAGGCACTCTGTCCCAAACTTACTTCCCTCTGCTGCAGGTCAGGGTATTGGCATCTGCTCTTCTCTCTCATCTGCTGTGGAATGAGTTAATAGACAACAAAACAAGACAAATCTGCTAGATCTTTAAATCTGAATTTAGTCAATCTGGAGACTGACTGGAAGCTCTGCTGCTTCTGACATCCAAAATGAATTTGTCACCTCACTGTGCAGCACTCTGCTTGCTCACAGCCCTTGGCCATATGAAATGACACACTCTGATGATTTATGGGCCACCACAAATGATTTTTTCTTTTCAGTAGGAACTGTTCTCTCATGCATTATTGTTGTGTGACTGAGGCAGGTGCAGAGGTTTCAGAGGGTCCAGGATTTACTCGGAGATTGGGACATGCCCTAGGAACTGCAGGTGAAGAACAATATTTGTACATCAGCTGATTTTTGGTTTTTTTTAAAGACATTTACTAAGCCTGGTTGAACACATTCTCCCCAAATCCTTCATGTTCATCTGACTGGTTTTTTTTTTGTTTTCTTCCCTACAACAAGAAGAGAGCTGGGAAAGAGATGTGGGTGCTCACAGCCCACTGGGACACCACTTGTGTGTCTTTGCTGCCCATGACTGTCTGCCAGCTGGTAGAGGCTGGGGTATTGCTGAGATCATTGTCATGCTGAGGGAGACCTCCAGAGGCTCAGATGGCCTTGTGTGAAGTGATGGATTTTGGAGGACACCCCAACTGAGTGCTGGCACAGGCTTCTAGAGTGAAAATGTGGGAGTGTGGCTTCATGCTGTGGTTTGAATGGCATTAAGCTGTAATATAACCATAAACCAGGGACAAACACCTCTGGAGAAAGGAGTTTTGCCATATCAGCTCAAGTGCAGAAAATTTTAGTGGTATTTTGTTGACTGGCTGAGTGATACTCCCTCAGGTGAGTGATTGTGATTAAGTGGAGATATATCTGCGACTGCTTCAAATTAATGAGGCAAAGCAGTGAAATGAGGCCTAGAGATGGCATTTTTCCTCTAACCTGGTCAAAAAGCCTGTTCTCTGTCCCAGAGAAGGCAGCTGCAGCTCCCTGTCTACCCTGTGGGTATCACCTGAGAGTTTGATTTCTCTGCTGGAGCTGCTGCCATGCACACAGTGATCACCTGCAGATATCTGTGCATGCAAGCTGGGGCTCTGCACAGGGAAGTTCTTCCTCATGTTCAGGGGGAACTTCCTGAGCCTCAGTTCCTGCCCGTTGCCTCTTGTCCCTTTGCCCGGCACCGCCGAGCAGAGCCTGGTCCATCCTGGGGCCCCTCCCTGCAGACACTGACAGACATTGATGAGGTTCCCTCTCAGTGTCTCTTCTCCAGGCTGAACAGGCCCAGCTCCCTCAGCCTCTCCTCAGAACTGAGGTGCTCCAGTCCCTTCATCATCTTTGTCACCCTCTGCTGGACCCTCTCCAGGAGCTCCGTGTCTCTCTTGCCCTGAGGATGCCAGAGCTGGACACAGCACTCCAGACTGGCCTCACCAGGGCTCAGTAGAGGGGCAGGATCATCTCCCTGACCTGCTGCCAATGCAGTTCCCAATGCAGCCCAGGATCCCCTTGGCTTTCTTGTCCCCCAGGGCACTGCTGGCCCATGGACAGCTGGGTGTCCACCAGCACCCCCAGGTCCTTCTCTGCAGAGCTGCTGCCCAGCAGGTCACCCCCAGCCTGTGCTGGTGCCTGGGCTTGTTCC